TGCCGTTGTTGGTAGAGTTATAGTTGGAGTTGCTCGAGAGTCCTTCCTGGGGGGACGGATGCTGCATCCCGTGAAGTTGGCGGTGTGTTCCTCACCACAGTTGCAGCATTTGGGTGGTGTAGTTTTGTCTTTATGGCACTGAAAAGAACGATGGTCGGCGGCACATTTAAGACATCTTGGTAGAGATTTGCACGTTCGCTGTGAGTGGCCGAAATTTTGGCAGTTGTAACATTGGATTAGGCTATTCCCGCCACGGAATCTTTCAATTTTTACGGGAAGGTCACAAATATTGGTAACTGAGTAGATTTGCTGATTTTGGTCTGTTTTGATCAATATTGTGAGAAAAAGTGGGATGAGCCGATAGGCCTCGCCACTTTTCTCTTAAACTGTATGACTTTTTGTGTTATAATGCCTGTTTTGGCCAATTCAAGGGAGATATGTTCTGCATTGGTGCCAACTGGAAGTCCACGGACTAGAGCTTTAATGTGCATGATTGGTAGATCGATTTCTGGAGTTGTGGGTGGAACTGCAGTTGCATGGTAATCCTCCTTGGGTTGGGCTAAGTCAGGATCTACATTGGTTTTAGAAAGTTGCAAGGAAGTGGCGACATCTAGTAGAAATGGAGGGCTGCTATTTGTAGTTATGAAGGAATTTTCTTCAGATTTTTCAACGTTATTTTTCTTTTTCTTTTTCCGCTTTTTTGGAGGGGGCTCTGCATTATTTTTAGCTGTATTTTCTGTGTAGGTTGTCATTTCGCTTTTCTGTTCTAAATTTTGGCCTGCATCTTGAGTTTCCATAAGTTGAGTTTTGAGTTGCGAGCAATTCTGGAGCACTTTCGCTGTTGTTTCAATTTGTTCGTTGGTCATCCTTATCATTTCCATCCATTCTTCATGTAACATTCGTTCACCTGGACTCATGCTTTCCAAATTTACCGTTGGTTCTCGTAATGTTTTTTCGGTTTGCCGTTTTCCGCCACGTCCATGATGAAGATATGTAGCCATACTGCGTGATTTGATTTTGTTGTCGAATTCTGTGGGTTCCTCATCCGTCGTAGAGTCTTTTGTCGCCCGGTAGGTGTGCTTGTCTTTCCACCACGTCCGCAACGTCGAAGACTCATTTTGCAGTACTTTAAAAATTGAATTGAATAAGCTTAAACTTAATTTTTGTACTTTACTTTAAACTACGAGCTTCAAACTTTGCCACGTCCAGACATAATTGCGAGAGAATCATTAAGAACTACTCACCAAAAGGATTAAACATCAATAACTCAAAACATCAAAATTGTTTCCTCCTCAGGAACATCAAATGGGCGACATCAAAGGCAACTATCGGGATCACACCGAAATTTCAGTACACCAGCAGTTAATCATCTCTGAAGTTGCATTTGATATGGTTCTTTGAATTTTCAATATGTAGTGTTGGACAAATCACTTAAAATGAAAAATACCGAACTAGAAAAATAACATAGATTTCGTTACCACTAGGAAATATTTCTTTACAAAGAAGGAGCTAGGTGGCATCTTTTCAGGCAACTTGCTTTACAGTTGGCACCTATGCAGTTACTTTTAAAAATTAACCCGTTTTGTCCCGAATTTATATATTGAAATGATGCAAACAAAGGTTTTATGGAAAAAGTGGTATAATATATTATCGAAATTAATTGGTTTTTCTGCCGTTAGGGTATTCAAAAAGTCTTTGAGAGATCAAAAAGTGCTTGCTCCTTAAATTTCTAGATCTGATAGATCAAAAAGTGCTCCTTAAATTTCTAGATCTAATCAGAAATAATAAATCATCATGGTATCTGGGAATCTTTTAATTCACCCAGATAAATGAAAATGCTGAAAAAAGTTTCCCATCGCAATGAATGTCTTTGAAAAAAGGAACTGCCCTAAATATATGACGCTGAGCGTTAACCGGTTAATCGGTACAATTACATTGATTATATTTTTTATAAAGTTACTTGAAAAACATTTAATATAGTTTGTTCTAGGAAATTTTTTTTATTAATATTGTTTTACTTCTTTCAGGAAATGGAACCATAATACCTTGCTGTGTAGAAAATCCTGATCCCAACTGCATCGATATTGAAGTTAGTCCTGACGATCCTTTCTACAACCAGTTTAATTTGTCATGCATACCATTTGCAAGAACAGCTCCTTATCCGCAATGCAATTTTGGTAAGTATAATGTTTTTGTTAAAGATACAATCATGCAGAATACCTAATAACCTTTTGCTATTGATACAATTATGCTGAATGTCTAATAGCCTTTTGCTATACAATTATGCCAAATGCCTAATTACCTTTTGCTATAGACACAATTGTGCCAAATGCCCAATAACCTTTTACTACAACCTTTTTTTTGAGCTGCCAGCTACTATGCTTTTTGCAAAATTCCCGACAATGGTAGACAATTAACCCCTTAACTTGTGCGCTCGAGTAAATTCGAGCTCGCTAAACATGGCAAACTGTGCACACTCGAGATAATTCGAGCGGCGTTGTATTTTATGCTGCTATAATTTTTCACACTCGAATATAATCGAGAATTGAAAATAACAATATGAAAACTACGAAAAAAAATCCTTCCATTGATATTTATCATTTACATTGGATTGTAAGCTATAACACTTATTTATTCAAGAATAAAATGTTACAGTGATGCCAACTTGCTCCGGACAGCAAATATATATTTTAAAGTGGTAGTTTATCAATTGTGATTATTGGTTTAATAAATTCAATTTAGCAGATTTTTATCCACCACTATTTCTAAATAATTCGTAGGGTTATATAATTCACCACGTTATAGTATTTAAGTTATGCTATATCTTTTAAAAAGCAAGCAAAAATAGTCAAAAATTTGCAAAATTTACTTTGTAGTTATTTACCGTTTTTTTAATTATTATCCGGAGCAATTGGCATCTCTGAATATATCCTTTTTCCATGGAACAAAAACGCAGTATATCAAAATTGTCCAACAAAAGAAAAGACAATGTTCTAAAGTGGGTTCTTTTTTTACATAAAAATTTTTTGGGGGGGGGCTGGTTTTTTTTCAAAAAATCTGTGTGTTAAAGGGTTAATTAAAAGCTAAAGATTTCAGAAAATTTGGCGATTTTTTTCAAACGTTATCCCCATAAGAGAGTTGAAGATTAATTTTCGTTTTATATGAAGTTTTGAATAATTTTCATGGTGTGGAAAATAACCTGAAATCAAATTTACAAAACAAAGAATTATACACTGAAATATAAACTTAGCTACCACTACAGGAAATTTTTCCAAAAAGCGTAGAAAGTTGGCCGTCCTGAACTATCATTGACTATTATTGGTGAACCAGTATCATTGTAATAATGGGTATCTAATTACATACTGATGTAGGTATCTAATGTAGTTATAGAGGTAATAAGTTTTTTTTCAGGCACAATTGTGCATGGGCCGCCTATAATTCCTAGGCTATCAGGACTTCAATCCGAAACTGAGAGTAAAACCCTACTCCTTCTAAAGAAGAATTTAACGCCAAAACCTCTGAACGTTAGAAAAACGGTAGTTAATGGGATTTTAAAAAAAGAGCCGTTTATATCTAAGGATGATTGTTTCAATTGTCTTTAAATACCTTTTCATTTTGGTAGACGAAAAAATTGTCAAACTATTATTGACGTACTACTTTTCCTTGTAATAATTTATATCTAATAATCCTAATATATTGATGTAGGTATCTAATGTAATTACTGAGGTGATAGATTTTTACCTTCCCTCAAGTAGGTCAACTAGGTGTAGAATTCTTATTTTAACTATTTTGCTCGTTAAATAATAAAAATTCGCTGGAAACGTTAAGTGCAGAAAATGCAAAAAAAAATTGTTCTTTAGGGGAAGGAACATATATCACATTAGTCTTGCATAATAGGGTTCCCACAAAATGTGATATAGAGAAAAAGACATTTGATACATTTGCGACCATCACTGTGTGCTATTTTGTAAAGAAAGTATAATTCTAAATTTTGCACCAACCACAAGGATTCATTTTGATTTAGATTGAAATGAATCAAACAGTCCTTAAGACTCTAAAATTATATTAGTAGAAACTTTAAGAAAATACAGTTTTTCTAGCACTCAATTACAGCTCAGACACCAGCTTAGCAGACAGGCTTTACAACTTTTGACGGATCAATGAATTCAAAAGAGACTCGCAAATAGAAAAATTATTGCAGTTATGAACAGACTAATACTCTATTACTACTTTACTGACTTACCCCTATTTATAAAAGTTTGGCGAGGAAAACCCGGAATTTTTGACATGATTCTAGACGATTCTCGTATAACTACGTAAATACTCAGCCCTGTTAAATACTAGTCATGTTCCTTCAATACTCGTATTTTCCCGAACTATCAGTTTGTCGCCAAAATGGTAGAAAAGTATAGCCAAATCACCAAGATTAAAGCTAAGTATCCAAAAGTGTCGCCAAACCGAGTTTTCCACAAGAAATTCGTTGGCTTTATTCTCACCCTAAATTAGGTTAGAATTCTGAGACTTTCTTTCAAATTTTCTAATTAAACTGTTTATTAAGGGTCTGCCTGCGAAATTTAGCTACATAACACGAGAATATTTTCGAAATTTTGCATATTTTTGCAAATTCGTAGCAATATTTTAGTGGTATAATAAAAATGGAAATTACTACCAACCGAAGTAAATTAATCACATCGGTAACTCTTGATATTGAATTTATAATTGAACTTCACAGATAAAAGGCAGCAGATGAATAAAAAGACTGCCTTCCTGGATGTTTCTCTTATCTACGGAAGTAATGATAAAGAAGCTCAACAAATGAGAGCAAACGATTCCTCGGGTAAGTATGATGTTTAAATAGTTAAGACTTTTTTTAACAAATAAAAAAATATTCAGGGGTTGAATATACACTGGAAAAACTAGACGCAGAAAACTGTTTCATTAATACATTAATATTCAGCTTCTCAATATAACAATTCAACTACTATCATAAATTACGATCATTGAGAAATAGTTAGATATCGTGGTGTTCGTGAACTTATATAAACAGGAATTGCGGATTGCCAGAACTTCGACAATGCTGTTAATAAATTAATGTCCTGAAAGATAGAAATTCAGTATGTTTCGGTTCCCGAACACGGATCCCACTGTGAATTTATGAATTTATCGCAAAGACACGATTCCCTGGCTGCGGGTAAGTGACAAATTTGATCAGTCTGCGTACGGGCCGAGGATCCACGGTATTGTTGTTTGTTAAGCTGTTCTATCCTAAAGTGCTAGACTTCAAGCGCAATTTCATAATTACAATTGTACAATTACGCATAAATACAATTGCATAATTGTTCAAATGTTTGCTTATCGAAAGGTTTCAGAAATCTAACTGATGTCACAGTTTGATTCCAGAAAGCAAACAAATAGGTAACAGCAAGCATGTATCATAAACAGGGGCAACCATATTAAAACAAAGCATAGAGAACTTTAAGAAAGTTAAATACTTGTAACTCTTCTTCGCTTCACTTTTTTCTCTAACTACAATGTTGTCAGGCTCTTTCCGAGAAAATGTATTCATTTCTTTTCAACTTCATCTTGCTTCTTTCTCCACCTTAAGAACCATCAATATTCCATCATTTTTTTTATAAAAATTTTATTCATCCACTTTGTTTTGCTGAGATAATCTTTCACTTGTCGTTCTCATAAATATTTAATGTCTTAACTGAATGAAAAGAAACCTCCATGCCGAGTTGACAAATGGTTACAGTTAATATAGATTTGTTGTGTAGGGCAGATATTATCTGTCACATTATTAGAGACATTTATAAATAGATTTCTGCTCCTCATATCATTCACATATTATTTTTATAACCGTCGATGAACTGCCTACCCAGCTTTTGGGTTTACAACTACTGATGTTCAACTGCGTATCCTTGCAATTTTGAACCCAATGCAGAAGACAAGAGAACTCCTCGATCAAGTTTTGGAAAAAATTAGTCTTCGCGGAGGAATTTTTGTTGGAATTAATCCGCATTTTGGTTACGTGAAAGGGAAAACCACGGAAACCTCACACGGTCAACCTGGCGGGCAAGGGTACTCTAATACCTGATCCGTCTACCACTGAGAATATTTTACGTCAGCACTTTCGTCGATGCGAGCCGGGTGTGAAATTCGTGTCTACCAGCTATAGCTGGGATTCGATCCTGGCTCACCTCATTCAAAGGCGACCGCTCTATTCCCTGAGCCACCTCAGCTCTACTCACATATTATGAAGTAAAAACACCCTTTTTATTTCTTTAGGACTTGCGACCATGAGCGTAAGATTTCAACGTCACAGAAACACCATAGTGAAAGCGCCACCATATGCCTTCAGATCGACACAAAAACACACAGACAATTTGTTATTTCATCTTTACTATAGAGATTTTATCATTTCTTGCAATAATGTATGCATTCAATATTCTGCAGGTAGACTAAATACTCGTCAAACTCCTTTCGGGGAAATACTGCCACATGCTTCCAGCAACAAAACCCTGTTTTGTCCTGCCAATGAAATTGAAAAGTGTTTCTTATCAGGTATGTAGAGAATATTTATTTTTAACACAGCTACCTGCATTTACACATCTGTTTCTCAATTTTATAGAACCGAGTACATTCCATGTAATAAATGGAATCAAAACCTATTGTAAGGTACCACCTGTTAATCATTCATTATTTAATCAAATTTACCTTCCTGCTATTCATCTGTACGGATACAGTCTTGTGTGCTCATAGCAAAAGACAACTTATTAACTCTTATCAAATTATCACAATTTAAATTAATTAATAACAGGTATCACAATTTAAACGAAGAAATCACAAAGATACATCCAAGGATACGATAAAGAAAGATACAATAAGGATAAAGAAAGATACATCACTGCATCCGGTTGTCGTTTTATCGCATACTTAGCAAAGAAAAATTTTCTCCAGCTGGTAGAAAAAACACAATTAAAGACATTCCTCTGCTTTCAAAAACTTTGTATCCTTCGGTAGTTGTTTGAAAGCCTCCCCTTTTCTAAACAAAGCAGAGGTAGAATTAAATCCATTGAGTTGGAACAACACGAAATCTTATTTTAATTCCACCTCTCAAGGCACTGTATATGCTGTGATACGTACTGTGTGCAAAATGAAAAACAGATCACCTTAAATAAATTTTGATCTTATCATCGAATCGTCACTTTTTAGTACTCAATATTAATCGTTCAACGGGGAGACTTCAAATATCCTAATTAATTAGTGCAGAAATTAATTAGTGCAGAAGATGCTTTACTTTTTTTAGACGGATTCGGATTTCAGGCCCCCAAACTATAGGGGGTAGCCACAATCAGGGAAATGTGGTTCCAATAGTTTAGTCAAGAGAGCGGTCCAAAGTTTGGACCCCTTATTGCAAATTTTACTTTTTAGGTATTTCGCTATAGCTCGAGAACTTTTCAAGCGAATCGAAAACATTTTGCACATAATTATAAAATTCCTTTATCCAAAGATAATTCGATGCAAAAAATAACTTTTGGTAAATAATACTTATTAATTTTCATTACTTTATTTAATAATGGTATGGAAAATTTTGAATTGTAAGGTATAGAATTTCTATCATAATTTTGAAAAACATAGTTTTGCATGGCAAAATTCAAAATTTCAGCAAAATCGAATAGTTCCTGAGAAATTGAATTTCAAAAAAGTCATATATTTGAAAATCGATTTCTCAGGGACTATTTAACTGATTTTGCTCAAATTTTGTATTTTGTCAAGTAAAACTATATTCTTAAAAATGATACAAAGAATTCTATACTTTAAAACTTAAATTTTTTTGACCATTAATAAATTAAATAACGAAAATTAATAAACCAAATGTTACTCTTGGCATAGAACTACCTTTGGATAAACGAATTTTAGAATTGTCGGCAAAACTTTATAAATTCGCTTAAAAAGTTCTCGAGATATAATGATAAATGCAAAATATAAAATTAACATTAAGGGTTCAAAACTTTGGACCGCTCTTCTGATCAAATTATTGGGACCATAATTCCCAGATTGCGACAACCTTTATACTTTGTCAAAAAAAATTTTTTTTCAGCGAAAGTTTTGTACACAAAACCTTTATAATTTCTAAACTATTAATCTTATCGTTTCGAGTTTGTTTTTGATTCATAGAAAATTGCATAAAAAACAATACCTCATTTGTTTAAATATCAGCATTTAAATTTAACTCCCCTTTTTAAACCTTTAACCTCCTCCGGTTAACCCTTTAACGGGCACTTTATTTCTAGTAAAGGTAAATTAAAGTATTTTTGGAATTGAAATTGTTTTAAGAACAGTAATTGATACATATAAAAAATAACTCATTTAGTTTATAAAAATGCCATTTTTTTGGTGGGAAATATATTTAACATGACCTATTAGGAATTTACTGACTTTTATTTTCTTTCATTTATAAAATAAATTCCTTAAATGCGACAAACTTCAAAAGGAATTATGTATTTTATAACTTTTATACGTTTTTTAAAAGTGACAAATGGTTACCAATTTTATTCAAACTCACTTCAAGAAAGCTGAAGTTATTGAAAAATGGAAACCTAAATTAAAAGTGGTAAAACGTGGTATTAAGTATACTTGCCACAGCCTTCAAAAGGGTTAAAATCCCTCACAGGATTCCGTAGAGTTTTCATCTCCAGCCATTCAACGCCCTTCCCCCCCACCAAAAAAAAAGGAATTACAACAGGTCCCGGACTATTATTTCGATATCTATCTCAAACACTAACTTTACTTATAGGAGAGATTCTTTTAATCTTGAAATCATTAAATAGGGAAGAACAAACATTAAATTTTTAATTTCTTGTTCAGAAAAGTAAATTAGCTGTTACTGCCACTTATTTTTATTCAATTATAGCCACTTTTAACTTTAAAAATATCTGACAAATAAGTAGATATTTCTAATTGTTAATAAGAAGTAGTAGTATGAGTAACAATCTTTTTGTTATAGCAAAAATGTTGGAAGTAAAATATTTTTATTACAAGATTCAATATAAGTGGCAGGTTTATAATTTTTGTTTAAAACGTATACAGGGCTGCCAACTTTTCTATGCCTATTGTAAAAGTTATTTTAGTGGTAGCTATGTTTATGTTTAAAGGTATTATGTTTTTTTTTTTTCATTTGAACATACTTTCCACACCACTGCAGATAACTGATTTGAAAATTCATATGCAACGCCACTTTGTTCCAGCTGTTTCTTAGAGAGGCTTAAAAATGTTGGCAAAATTACCGAAAATTCTGAGATCTTTCATTTTTCAATGTGCAATAATTAAAAATAATACGCTTTTTGAAAATAAAATTTTCAAAAAGCGTAGTAGTTGGCAGGTCTGTGTATACATAAAATATCTGAGATTAAAAAATTTGTGTTTTTTTTCCTTTAAGTAAAGACGAAACAAAAAAAATTTCCTTTGCCACGATAAAACTTTCCTGTTCCAATTCGGCTCTTGTTCCTATTTTTGTTTCTAATGCAGCGCATTTAAAAATATTTTAAGAATATCTGTAACAAAAACAGAGAAAAACATTATTTTACATGAATTTCGTGAAAACTTGTGTGCTCATTGCTAAGATGGCTTATAAACCCTTATCAAGTAGAAGAACAGATAACACAAATTAGAGGTCACAAGATACACTCAAAAGTTACAGCGGGATGGTACGAAAAATCACTTCTGCAGATAGACAGTAATTCATTGATTTACTTCATTGATAAAACTTTTCAGTTTAAAATTAATCTTCTCGTATTGTTCGTTAAATAGGTGACGAACGAGTAAACCAGCATACAATGGTAATCTGTGTGCAGACTCTATTGGTCCGTTTACACAATACTATACATGACAAGTTGTTTGGCTTGAATCCTCATTGGGATAATGAAACACTCTATCAGGAAACCAGGTAAGCATTAAACGCTTGTGTTAACACTCTTTTCAGCCCATGAAACTTTAACTGTTGTTGTAGCCAAGAAAATGAAGGCTGTAATAAATAAAGTGCAAATTAAATGAAACGATATAGTACTTCCAGAGGATATAGTGTACAGAGCCATCACCTCCTACATCAAAAAGCCTCCACACGGTCTTTTATAAGTAGTCCGCGCAGATTGCTTAAAAAGTGAACCAGTTGTGCGCGTGAACCCAAAACCTTTTATAAAAGTAATTAAGAGAAATGTATCATATATATTTGAGAATTGAATCTGTAGTGGTTGACAAGTGACTAAGGCAAGCCAATAATATTCATAAATAAAACAAATTTTTAATCATATATTTGCTACCACTTTCTTATTTTAACTAAATTTTGTATTAAATGACTCGTTCGGAAAGTGGATATCCTTCACAATGGTCTGATCGGACTACCTATAAAAAACCGTGTAGAGGCTTTCAGTTATAGAAGCTTTTATGAAGCGTTGACAGAGCACAAGGGATAGTCACAGTCCTTAAGTTTGCTATGTAGGAATTAATGGGTTAAAATACAAGTCATTTGGATAATTGAAGTGAAGGTATCGATTCAATTGCGACCCCACCAGGAGGTTCATAACAGGGGAAGCGCCTCTAATGGCGTATCCAGCGATGCCAACTTGTTCCTCTTTGTAAGACGATAGTTTCTAGTAGCAACTAAACTAAAGTTATTTTTAATTTAATATTTTAGGCTTAAAGTAATTTTTCAAACACTAAATATCAAGAATTCAAATTATCATATGAAATGCACCTTTATTGCTGGTATCTTGTGGCAACAGTAGTAAAAAGCAAGCGTAATTATCCTTACTCTACAAGTTTTTCTATTTATATCGCTACCAATTTATTAAAACTTTTGCAGATAGCGGAGCAGTTGGCATCACTGCGTATCGTTTATGAATTGCTATTCAATTTCCAGTCCTTATGATGTTCTTTACCTCCCCATAAGTTTGTAAACGTTTTCAAAACAAAAAAAAATTTTAAAAGTTTGTTTCATAATAACTGAGACGAATGGGGAAAATGAAGCACAAGCTATTAGTTTAAAATAGCTCCAACACCAGAGTTAGTTTATTTTTGTTTTAAAAAGATTAATCTAAAGTATTCATTCCTCCAAAATCTGATTATGTTTACATTTATGGATGTTAAGTTTTTTTTTCAATTCCTTTGTCTTGCTTTTAGGAAAATCGCGGAAATCCTGAATTTAAAAATATTTTCTTTCTTTTTTTAATTACGAAAGTAAGCAGGCGTTGCTCTAAAAGTTATGAAAGTACGTTCATGGCCTTAGAATCTTCTCTTTTTTTTAAAAAAAAATTTTCTCAATAAAATGAAAAATAATGCTTGCCTTTAAGAAACAGGAACATGTAGTAACATGTTAGCTTGTTTTTAAATGATCCTTAACATGTTTTTTTTTTTTTTTGACAAAAGGAACTAAGTCGCTGCTCTAAAATTTTCGAATGTACGTTGATAGCTTTAGGATTTTATTAATTAATTTTTTTCGATAAAACGAAGAATAATGTTTGCCTAAAAAGCTTAAATTTTATGTTTGAGAGTTTAAAAACTGTTGTACATTATTGTACAACAGGAGAACAGAAGTTATTCTAAAACTTATAGCTCTATCTTAATGGTTCTATATCTTTATAGCTCTAAACAAAGTTTAGATTCTTTTTAATCAAGAATACATTAGTTGTTTGTAAAAATCATATATATAATAAAAAATTATGCTTATAATTCTATAACCTGTTTTGCTTTATAAAATCAACAAGAATATAGTCGTTACTCTAAATCTTATCACTCTAATTCAATGCTTCTATATATTCTTACGGCTTTAAAAAATTGTTTAGATCTTTTTCAAAGAACTGTTGTTTGTAAGGCAGAGAATCTGTGTTTATAATCCTCAAATTTGGATTTCTACAATCAACACGAGAATATTCGGAGTTTCTAAAACCGGAGAATGTATGTTTATAACTCTAATATCCGTTATTTTTATTAATCAACGAAAGAGTATTTGCTCTAAAATCTTGCAATGCATGCTAAAAGCTCTAAAATCTGTTTTTCTTTTCCAACAACTGGATAATAGTCGTCATTCTTAAAGCTGGGAATACATGTTTATGTCTTTAAAATATTTTTTTCCAATGCCCACCTGTGTTATCATCCGTCAATTCAGGCATATACAGGGCGATTTTGTTGACCTCTCTTTCAGGGGCACCATATTAGGTGGGCCAACGTCGCACCCACAGTGAGGACAGATAGTACAGAGAAGGAAAGAACATCCATGCCTTGCCCTGGATCCGAACCCAGAACCCTTCTGACCCAGGAGCAGTTCCCTGCCCCATACACAGGCCGATCGGCTGTCTTTAAAATATCATTTTTTCGATCAACAAAAGAATATTCTAATGCTTATGTTTATAAAAGATTTTTTTAATCAGCTTTTTGGATCTGAAAGCTTTATTGCTTGCTTTTTTAACAGGAGAATAGTCGTTGCTCTTCAGCAAAATATAGTCTACCAAGAATATCTACCATGGCTAGTAGGACCAGAAAGTATGAAGAAATACAATCTATCGGTGGATGCAGTTTCTTTGTATGATGAAAAAACTAGACCTTTCCTGTTCATTGAGTTCAATACTGCATCCTTTCGGTTGCATAGCATGTTGCCAAAAGCTGTGAGCACACATTATCCGGAGATAAGAATGAGCCTTACATACTCTTACTTCTGTCCAGTTTATAATGGACAGTTGGACGCCTACATCACTGGATCGTGTGAAGCCCCATCTGAAAAGTATGACCGTTTTGTGAAGGTTGATGTCACTGACTACTTGCACAGGTAAAAAATTCCCTTTATAAAAGATGGATTCTTTCTTGTTCCAATGTTCTAAACAGGTACAAAAGCAGTTTTCACAGCTCTAACCTTTCTTGTATTTCATATTATTTTAGTATTAATTAATTCCCCTTAAAATCCATTAATGTTGAAATAAACCAAGGAATTTCTAGTTTTGCACATTATAGAAAAATGTATGGGGTTTAAGTGTTTGTTTAATGTAGATTTTAACGCTTTCGAAATTAAACAGACTATGCTTAAATGAATCGTAATTTTTGAACGGATTCAAATAATTCGAAAAGCTAGGATTCCAGGATTGATATTACTGTAAAAGCCCGAAGGTTTTAAAGGTAAAACCTAGGATTTACCAGATTGGATAGGTAAAAGATCAATCCTTTACGTTAAAAATTAGGAATTATCAATTCATTTTGGTAAAAGCCAGATGCGAGAGATTCTGTTTTACTGTTGCCAAATTTATTTTTAAGAAACATTGAAATCCCTTATGTGGTTATCGAGAAAATTGTGTCTTAGTTCAGCTTTTTCACATGGAATCACCTTTCGTGAAATGGAATTAAATATTATATTGTTTTCTTTGTCCTTAATTTCATGTAACTTTTTGAAAAATAATTGTAAGACAGTTTCATTGGCACAATCTCAAATCATCTATATTTTTAATTAAATCAATTTATATATTTTCAATTAAAAATTTTAAAGTGTGTTTTAAACTTTTTAAGACACACTGTGTACTATATATACGGTTCTTTTGAGTTAAAAGCCGTTACGATGGTTAAATTTTTTTCGCCAAATCCAACACCAAGCATAATAATCAATCAACAATAATCGTTGTTAATTATTTTTAATAAACAGATTAATAATGGGATGTGAGTGCCATTTTTTGGTTCAACCTGCACTGACGACATTTTTTAAGGCTAAGTGCCACTGCCATGAATACTCTAAATTGTTTTTTTAAGGTTAAGTGCCACGGTCCAGTATACCCGATGATGAATGTTGATATAACTTAAGTGTAACTGATTGGTATACTATACATATACTGGTTGTTTTTTTAGAGTGACATTGCCTTGTATAGGGGATGGGTTACCTTTATGGTCACAAATTTGCTGGCCTAGAGTTGGCGATGTTTTTGTCCCCTATAATGAATCAGTACACAATATATATGAGAATTAAAAATTCAATCATAAATAATTCCTCGTTTTGGTGTCATACCGGAAGGTGTTGGTAACTCTCAGTTTAACCGCATAGGCTATGTAAATGTCCGAAATGAAGTCGTATGAAAAGTATATTTCGGTAAATCCTAAAGCAGTTTTGGTAAATCCTAAAGTTAGAAGTAAAGCCTAGGATTCGCTCGACTTCGGACTTTTACAGTAATATTGTGTAAAATCTAAAAAAAAAAATAATATCTTTTCATTGCAATTAGGAAAACTTTCGTGCCAAAATCAATGTATTTCAGGGTTTATATGGGTTTAAAATTTTTAAAAGTACTTTCGATATTTCAATTTTAAGAAAAAAATTACAAATTTCTTTTATTTCTACGCACTTTAAAATTAAAAAAACTAAACTCTGAAGTTCGAAACTAGTTAATTTTTTTTTTAAAATATTAAGAGTAGTCGAGAATACAGTTTTTTGAAGTGTACCTTTTTTCTTTTTTAAATTTTTAAGGACCATATGAACCTTGTGTTCGTATTAAGATCGTTAATGTAGGAATCATCGTTTTGCATCATCTTTTTTCTTTGTTTTTCTAATGTTTTTAACCGAAAATACTATACTGTCAATTAGAATTTTTTTTCCACTTATAGACCACCCAAAGCATCTTTCGGAGTTGATATCGCTGCTATCAACATCCAAAGAGGGCGAGATCATGGACTCTCAAGCTACACCGACGTGGTTGAGAAGTGCTCAGAGGGGAAAACCAGGATCGAAACATTTTCTGATCTCTTAAACAGAATGTCACAAGATAGTGTCGAGTTTCTGAAGAAAATATACACGTAAGATTTTTGTTTTTTACCCTCAAATGTGATTGTTGATATAGGGACACTTTAAGCACACTTAAGAAGAAAATACTTATGTCAGTAAAAAACAAAAAGTGACTTTAACAGTTCGCAAATAAAAATCACGCAAGGTTTGATACTACACTGGAGCATCATATTCAGTATTGCTCCATCAATTCTGTTCAGTATTTCTCCATTCATTTGTGTTCAGTAATGCTTCATCACTTCTGTTCAGTATTGCTCCATCACTTGTGTTCAGTAATGCTATTCAGTTCAGTTCAGTATTGCTTCAGTATTACTCATATTGTTTGTTCAGTACTGCAAATGCGGCAAAGAAACAACTCAAGTATTCAATCGTGAAATAAAATTTACGTAATAAGCATATTATCCCAATCAAAGGGGGGGGGATTTAAAACATACTTTTTATAGTCGCAATGTATTTAATTGCTTTCCAAATGTTGTTAAGTTTCAAGAACGACAGATGGGTGGATGGGTACTTTACTTGCATCACACTACAGCTGCACAATGGTCACAGTGGTTGCCCGAGGACCTCACCTGAAGTCGAGCACTTTACGGTAGATCAGTTTAACAAGGACCGGTACCACGTACCTTCGGTCCCTAAGCAGGCTGATCAATGTAGTCACCCATCCGCTTACTGACCGCAGACGATGACGTTTGACTGTTGCTCTCCTGGGAGAAAAAATAACGAAGACATTACGATTGAGTGAAAGAAAAGAAAATTAAGAAAAGTTTCACAATATTTTAATATAGAGAAAATTTGTAAATTTTACGACTGACTTGTGACTAGTTGTGGCATTTTAAGAGTAACCATTTCTTAAATCACGAAGCCTTTTTTTAAAAAAATAGAAAATTTTAAAGATTAAAAGTGTTAATATTGTAAAGCATTTCCTTTGAATCTTTTCTCAAAATATGGTAAACATTGAAACATCTATTTCTAAAATATAAAAACATTTCAAGTAACAAGCACAAAATTAAGTTATCTTCAGAATATTATAGAATATTCAAAATAATTCTATATTTATTAAAAGTAATATTTTAATAAATGCAAATAGGTTGCATTTTCGACGAAAAATATCATTCGTTACCTTATTGCCAGAGTAACCGTTAATTTTGCCGTATATATCTAAATAATTAATTTTTTATATAATTCATTTATATAGTTTGATTATAAAGACAATAATGTTATAAATGAACTTAAAAAACTGAATTGTGCTCGGGACTTTTATCTGTTACTTAAGCGTTACTCCTCGTTTTACTCTTATATACAAAGTAGCATTTCAAAAATCTGAAAGTACTTTTTGCAACTTGTTGCATTAATTAAGAATATTACCTGATTTAAAACTTCATTCGTTTCAAAATTAAGAAATAAGAAACAACAGTCGACATGTTTCGATGTGCTTCAAAAATAGGCACCCATTTTCAAGACTTGCTAGACGTGGTTGAAAAGAAACAAGAATAATTTGAAAGAAAAAAAGCAAAATTGGCGACAAAAAATGGAAAAATAAAGCTAAGGAAAATGGAAAATTAAACTAAAAAAACCACTGCAGCCGAGAGAGAAAAAAAAGGATGATGTTGTAGTTCATTTACGTCGTACTAGGGATGCACAGTGGGCTATTGGCGACAGTCTGGGAAACGTCCCTGAGGATGACCCGAAGACATGCCATCACAATTTTGATCCTCTACAGAGGGGATGGCACCCCCTCTTCGTAGCCCGACGATCTGTACGTGAAAAAAAGGCTGAAAAACAGAAGAAGAAAACCACAGTGGCCGAGACGGACAACTCAGGGTAAAATGTATTTTCACACGCTATGCCGAGAGGTGCCGAAGAACTAATGTCGTTAACAAGAGAATCACCATTCATATGAATAAAACAAGATTCCAGGGCATCAAGATAAGCTGATGTGACTCGATTGGAAGTAATTTTAGCGTAGTCTAAATTGAATTTATGCTCAAGATTCCAACAATGTGCAATTGAAGATTCATAAAATTCTTAATAACAGACATATCTATCGTGTTCCTTAAGTCTGAATTTTAAAGCACGTCTAGTTTTTTCAATGCAGCCAAGTTTGTACTGATTATAGTAGTATTTCTTTAATTAAATTGTTATTTGATTAAGAATGTTTCTCAACTTTTGTATCTATCTCTTTTTTTTCTTATTTCATCAGGGACGTAAGGGATATTGACTTATGGGTAGGAATGACAGTGGAGAAACCGATAGAAGGGGGTGTGACAGGCCCTACTGCTACGTGTATATCAGCCATTCAGTTTCATCGTCTAAAATTTGGTGACAGTTTCTTCTATACACATGAAAATGGAAGATATCCTTTCACAAAAGGTAAAGGGAAAAAATGGAAGTTGTTTTATGCTTTTACTTTAGAAAACTATGATTCTTTTTTTTAAAATTATTAATACCCTTTTTAAAAATAATCCTGAAATTAACCTCACTAAAACAGCAAAAAATGCAGTATTTATTGTCTGAAATATTCAAGGTATAGTAAAGTGACCGCCTCAATTATTCATTTTTGAAATCTCACAAAGTCTTCCACATTGAGTTTCACGAACTCTTTAACCTCTTGCCTGCGGTGCCTGATAGCACTTGTTATTTTGGAAAATCAGCTGCACCACCCATAAGCAAAAGCTTGAGAGGGAAAAAAATCGTATGCAAATTCTATTCAATCCTTATTGACGAGTTTTCAAATTATTTTTAAATCGATTGATTTTACTGAAATTTTGGATTTTGTCATGTAAAATAATGTCAATAAATTCGGTGTAAATATTTACCTGCCATACAATTCAAATTTTTCTTTCCGCAATAAGTAAATTAAGTAATAAAAAATAATAAATTATCATAAAATATTATATTTCACATTAGTCTGTGGATGATTTCGTTTAATCTTTGAGGCAAAATATTTTAATATATTTCGTCAGTTTCTGATATAAGGCAAAATACATTTAAAAAAAAACAGACTTTAAAAAGTCCAAATAGTTGACTATTTTCTTACCTAAATTATTGGGAACATATTTTTCTGATTGCGACTACCCCCTCAACCCATACTATTCGCGTAAAGAATGCGATTCCGATGTAAAAAAGTACGTTTATTCAGAAAAAGTACGTTTTTGTGCTGTAAATATCATCTGCACAAATTCAGTGACTCATAGAGTTATGCTCTTGAATCAGCGAATCCTACTACGTGAAAATCCGATCATTGAAATCGAAAAATATTCGGGTGTTCTCTTTTACTTGCTCTCTGAAACTTGACCAAATATATTTATAACCGGCCTTGAAAACCGATTCAGTTCTGAATTGAAGGCAACCAATGTTCAAATCCATAGCCGTGTAATTTTGATCCCTGACTATAACACAAAGGGATGTATTGTATCAAGCTTTGGGAGAAACTAGCCTTCAAGGAGGGCTATTTGATGGATCTAATCCCCATTCACCTCAAATGGAGAGAAAAACCACCAAACCTCCTACGGTTAGCTCGACAGCAAGGGGACTCTAACCCATGATCAGTCAACCACTGGGGATATTTTACATCAGCATTCTGGTCGGTCAACGCCTCCTATAACTGAAAGCCTCCACACGGTTTCTTATAAGGTAGTCCAATCAGACCACTATGAAGGTAAACCAGTTAACGGAAGAGCCATTTAATAGAAAATCTAAAAGAAATAAGAAAGTGGTGGAAATTATAAGTCTAAAAATTTGTTTAAATTCTGAATATTATTGGTTTGTCTTATTTACTACCACTACAGATTCAGTTCTCAAATATATATGATAAATTTCTCTCAATTTCTTTTAAAGTAGAATTTGGGTTCATGCGCATAACTGGTTAAAAGAAACCGTGTGGAGGCCTTTTGATTTGGAGGTGATGGGTCATTTCAACCTGCCATCGCTAGGATTCGTACCTGAGCCGTTTCATAGGGCCCTCATTTATCCCTGTCCTCTGAGCCCTCACGGCTCTGGCTAAATATATAAAACATGATATTTCAAAGAAGCAAAGTGCAGGGGACAAACAGAAGTTACATTGAACTATCGCTATCCTTTTTTTCCATTGGTCAATATGACTTAAAATAAATGTATTATTATTAATTTAAACGACGCACTTGCGAAAAATAATAATCGGAAGAGGTTAATACTAATTACTGATTTAAATTTCCTAAATATAACAAAGAGGGGGCAAAATTTACGGTATATAATTTAATTTCTTAAAGGTAAATTCATTTCAAATATTTTTCAGATCAACTGGAAACTATTAAATCTTTCTCAGTGGCACGCTGGCTTTGCGACACTACAAGCTATGATGAAGTTCGTAGACACCCATTTGCTGTACCTGGGAAAAAGTAAGTTAAACAAGCTTACATATATAAACTAGAAAAACTTACATATATTAACAGGAATTTTATTTTTTATATGCATTATTATTTATAAGCTTAAATATTTTCAATTTCTTGTTATTTCATTTTATATTACATATCTATTATTTATCAGCCGACGCAATTCAGAGTTCATAAATGTTAAACTCCGTACCCTTGTATTTTTGAACCCAATCCAAAAGACAATGGAACTCTTGCATCAAATATTGGGATAAACTTACCTGCGTGGAGGTCTATTTGATTGAGCTAACCAGCATTTGAGTTACATGGGAGGATAACCTCCCATGTTAGCTTGAAGGCAAGGGAACTTTAACACGTGATCCCCCATCCAATGAGAATATTTTATGTTAGCACTGTAGTGGGTGTTAGGCGTGTACGGATTTTGTGACCAGTCATCGTTGGGATTCGAATCCGATACCTCATTGGGAGGTGAGTGCTCTATCCCAGAAGCCACCACGGCTTTAAATATCTTGTTAGTGAAAGTTATTTTCAACTGTATTTTTGAAATTTAGTACTAGAACTGAAAACTACAAACAATTATCTTGCAAATGTCATTAGTTATAGTTGCTGAGAAACTAATTAATTTGTCTATTCTATTTTCAGTAATCCTGTTACAGCATGCCAAAAAATACAGCCTCTTGACTTATCATTGTGGAGAGAGAAACCATGACTAAAACCATGACTTAGTGAAGCTAGGGTTAATGAGATAAATGAAATTAATTCGATGTGTAACGATTTATCTTTGACATTTTTAGTGTTATATGGTACTGTGATTCCCAAATTTTTTTCGACTCCAGAACCCTATACGATCAACATTTTTTCGACGGAAATTCAATTTCATAACTAAAGTATAAAAAGACAATTGTAAACGTATTAACCTATAAAAGTCAGCTTTATTTTGATAATATTTATAGAGGAGGATGGCATTTTTCATCGTTTTATCATTAACTATTTTAAATTAGCTTTTATATCAGACAATTGGATATTTGCACTGCAAGAAGGAAAAGATCACTGATACTCACACATATGATCTACGACGTCAGCATCGTTATAAGCAAAATGTCGTTTCAAAGTTGGGCTAATTTTCTCCACACAAGTTAAAATGTTAATTAACGAGAAAAAACTATATTTCAACAAATTTGATGGATGATACGGCACCTTTTTTAATTAACTTGAAGTTAATTAAATTAAATGCCGTTTCACACATCAAATTCATTGAAATATAGTTCTTTCTCGCCAACTTCTTTTATTTAACTTAGAATTATTATTTGTTTATTTATTTTATTGTAACTGTGATATATTTTTGTTAACTCCTCCTGTACCTGGCAACTTCGATGCATAATTAACTTAATTATGTTCCACATGGCTTCGCGTCTGTCTTTGTGTTAAGTAGCTCACTAAATTCTCCACAGCTGTTAATTTGGGAGAGAAAAAATGTCTAGAATCTGCCATTGTATAATGATACTTTTTAAAAAAATAAAATATTCAGTTAAAAAAACTATTTAAAAGTGAAAAAAATCTATGAAACGTTGTTAAATAATTGTTAATCCATGAGCAGTCTACCAGATTTACGTAATTAATCACAATTTCATCAGGTGGAAATACATAAAAACAAATAGCCATTTGTAAAATAAAATTCCTTTTTTTTTCTAAAAGTATCTACCAGTTAAACTAATAAGAAATATATTTTGTTATTTTTTCGTTTACTGCATGTTATGTTTAAAGGATCGTATGTTTGTTTTGACAAATCAAACGCTCGTCGTCCTAAGCCAAAAGCCATTGGTTTGGTTAGATGACTGAGCATGAGCAATAGCATCAATAAAGCAAAGTAGACTTTTAAAAAAGATCCACTTTCGAAGGATACCCACAATATGTTAAATCATAGCGAAGTGGGCGTGCTTCTTTTTTTCATCTCCAACCAAGACTCCATTATGGCATACATTTTATGCTTTTAAAGATCCGCCCCCAAATTTATCTTTAAAACTACTGTCCTGTCATTTTTTCTGAGTTCATTGAAGCGATGGAATCACCTAACAAGTTGCCTGCGAAGTAAGTTTCATACATTTAATTATATGTTTTAAACTTATTGTTATTAAACTCATAGTATATAAATAAACGATGTTACACGCAAAATGTTTTGTTAACTCTTAAAAGCTTGCGAGGTTATGTTGATGAATAGAAATCGAACTAAATCCACACCACACACACGGTTTTTTATAGGTAGCTACTAGTCCGATTAGACCACTGTGAAGGATATCCACTTACGGAACGAGTCACTTAATACAAAATCTAGTTAAAATAAGAAAGTGGTAGCAAATATATGACTAAAAATTTTTTTTAATTATGAATATTATTGGTTTGCCTTATTCACTTGTCAACCACTACAGATTCAATTCTCAAATATGTATGATAAATTTCTCTCAATTACTTTTATAAAAGGTTTTGAGTTCATGCGCACAACTGGTTCACTTTTTAAATAGTCTGCGCGAACTACTTATAAAAGACCGTGTGGAGGCTTTTTGATGTAGGGGGTGATGACTATATCCTATGTTTAAATTACTGAATCTATTCCTAAAAATTCTACTCCTTTAAAGAATAAAAGAATTATTGGTTAAAGTAATTATTGGTTAAAACTCAATTTGTTTTGATTATTAAAATTTACAGTTACGTTTACCGTTTTATTGAGTTGTATTTGTTATATGTGCATTGTGGTTCTAAAATTAATGTATGTACACCTTATGTTAAAATTATATAATTACGAAAATAGCCTAATAATACGAAAACATAATATAGCATAGTAAATATAAGCATGGATATATATGTTTACAAATTTTGCTATGTTACTCACATAGCAAAAAATTTAAATATAGATATTTGTGTAGCAATAAACTTTCTTCGTAAATACTATTAATTGATTAGTGAAAGAGGCTCTGTTATAATAATAAATAAATAATAAACAATACTTTTTAACTTTTACCGCTAAACAATTGAGAACATAGTCTAATAATTTAAAAAAAAGCATGAAATGCTGTTACATACTTTATTATTTTCTTTCTAATGAATTATGAAGAAGAAAAGAATGCTCTGTACAATTACAGAAAATCGTTAGTATATTTTATTTACTTGTTGAACTTGTTTTTATACTTTCGTGTTGAATTATTATTTACTTTTCAGGGGGGTGTTTTTTTCCTGCCCATAATTATGTATAAAAATTGTTTTTACTTCAAAATCTAATTTTGCTTTAATGAGATTTTTCTGATAATGAAGCAAACATTTGTGCTACCACTTTTGCCTTTCATGCAAAAAAAAAAAAAAACATCTTANCGTTATCTTAAGGACATTTGACTCAAATGCTCATAGGAGTTATTTTTATTAGCTATATTTCTTTTTTAATATTTTCTTTCAAATTTTCTAGGAAGAAAATTAAAAAGCCTTGGGCTCGGTGCTGTATTTGCAATGTAACTACAGCCACTCGTCCTAAAAGGAAATTTTCTTAGATTTCCGAAAGATCCAGAAAGGTAATGAAAATAGGTAAAAGTATTGAAAAAAAGAGGCAATATGTCCTTAATATTTCTTGCAGCTAAAATTTATTTTACTTCTTATTATATTTATGTATGTATATTGGTTATATTTTCTTTTTCGCCAATTTCGTGTATATTTTATCAGTATCAATTTTATGACTATTATTTGTGTATAGATATTAACTCTACTGTATTACTATGTATGTTTTTGTCTGTAATTTATGTAATGAATTTTTATCCTTCATTTAATTTATGTATTTATTACAGAAATTAAATGCAAGCCTTTGTTGTTGATGTACGAGATTAATGTAAAATAATTATGCATATTTGAATAAATTTCTGTTTTTACTAGATGATCTTAAATTGTTGACTTAATTTTTTGTCACATTATTATAAAATGTCACATTATTTCATCATTTATCTGAAAGAAATATATTTCTATTTGTACTTAAAAATTGACGAATTTTTATTTTTTTCTTCCTCCTAGATTGATTTNGCAGGTAAGGGGTTAAATATTTGATTTACAAGAAAAATACTCTGATACAACCTAACACAAAATTAAGTGATATTAATTCATTCAAAGCAAAAAATGTTTGACTAAGTTAAAATAATAAATTATGTTTATTTTTTTATTAATTCGTCAGAGGTAAATATTTTCCTTGTTTAGTAAGTACAGTGCACTNTTTTTTTTTCTTAAATATTTGATTTACAAGAAAAATACTCTGATACAACCTAACACAAAATTAAGTGATATTAATTCATTCAAAGCAAAAAATGTTTGACTAAGTTAAAATAATAAATTATGTTTATTTTTTTATTAATTCGTCAGAGGTAAATATTTTCCTTGTTTAGTAAGTACAGTGCACTCCCGATTATCCGGGTTAATCACCGAGACAGGTCGCACGGGCAATCGAAAAACACGGATATGCCGAAAACTCCTTTTATTAAAGAAAAATTTAATATCAGTACAAAAAATATAAAAATTACTGACATTTGCATACATAACATCAAACTAAGAATTTTCCTTATTAAAAAATGTGTAATACGTCTTCGCCATATATCGATACACATATTTTACGAACCGCAGTAATGTCACCGTAATCAAATCCTCCCATATAATCTAATAAAGTTTCCACAGAGCAGCAGAATGAGAAATTGTATTTCATTCATTTACTACATCTTCTGCATCAGTTACTATCATCACTATTTGATTTAACAACATAACGATCTCTTCATGAGTGAAATACTGGAAACCAGTCTTCTAAATTTTCTTCAACAAGAATACCGAAACCAAGAATAATCCGCAAACCGGATAATCGAGAGTGTACGGTATATCTTTTCTCAAAATCATATAAGTCTGTAAAGTGCAAAAGCAGACTGGTTTTGAGTCACTTTTCATTAGCTGTTTACATGAGTGGGACAGGGAGAGAGGGAAGGGGTGGGGAATGGGGTTGCTTTGAGATGGGGAGTGAGGGAGGGACCCTCTGTGAGGAGGCAGATTGCTTTCCGAGCAATACCTTGATGGAGCCTGTGGAACAGGTTTACATGGGGGCCTATGAGAGCCAATTAAATTTACTCATCAAGGACAAGCACTGTCCATAATGTTATCGTCATTAATGATTCATGTTGCAGTGGATGATTGACATGGAGAAAACATTTAATTTATTTTTCACAGATATTGAATTTATATTTTTTTCCATAGTTTTTTATATACAGGGTGATACTGAAGAGATGGTCAAAATTTTAGGAAGTGATAGTACACACCCGAGCAAACAATTTTTATCGAAGAATGCATGGTCGAAAACAAAACGTAAAGATGCTGGCGCATTTGGAAAGTTGTTTGATGCAAACGTGAAAGCTCCATTCCTGTTGCGAGTTACTGCGCTGCGTTACTTGTTGTCAAGCTTTCTGCCACTGCAGGGAAAGTTCGTGATATGCCTGATGTGTTTCAGAATGTTCGTCTATCTTTTCTTCGCCGTTGTACTGCATGCATAGATGCTGCCGGCCACTGTTTTGACAACTTATTGTAATCACATGCCATTAAATTTGCTTTTATAACTTAACTTCATCGTTCTTTGTGTGTTTTTGCCTCATATAAGAACATAAACTTTGACGCCCTCTAGCGATTCTGCGTTTTGTTTTCGACCATGCATTCTTTGATAAAAATTGTTTGCTTGGGTGTGTACTATCACTTCCTAAAATTTTGCCCATCTTTTTAGAATCACCCTGTATATGTATATATATCTACTTTTTTTCATAGTTTGTAGTGTAGTGTGCTGCATTTTTTCAAAGAATAGTGTATCGAGTAGTACAATACAAAAACAGTAGTTTGTGGCGATTATTGGCAACTGATTTTAATGTCAGTTTGAAATTCTGTTCTAACTTAACTAATTTTAAGAATTTGATGGGTGCAAATCGTCCCGGTTTCGTCATATATTAAATATAAGAGAATAATTAAGAAATATCCATTTATGTTTACATGAGCCGGTTTGTTATTCTAAAGCCTTTTTTTCAAATTTTTTTTATTTAACCTTTAACTTTTTTTGCCCTTTTCAAGAGCAAATATATATAGTTCTAG